GTGTGAGTGCTGGATGATGGGTGTTTGTGTGAGTGCTGGATGATGGGTGTTTGTGTGAGTGCTGGATGATGGGTGTTTGTGTGAGTGCTGGATGATGGGTGTTTGTGTGAGTGCTGGATGATGGGTGTTTGCGTGAGTGCTGGATGATGGGTGTTTGTGTGAGTGCTGGATGATGGGTGTTTGTGTGAGTGCTGGATGATGGGTGTTTGTGTGAGTGCTGGATGATGGGTGTTTGTGTGAGTGCTGGATGATGGGTGTTTGTGCGAGTGCTGGATGATGTGTGTGGGGGGGGGGGAGGATTTTTTTTTAACTTTATATTTTTTTTTATTTTATTCCCCCCTCCCTGCTTCTTACCTTGTCAGGGAGGGGGGAGATCGCCTGGTGGTCCGGTGGTATGCTGGAGGGGCCATCACGCAGTGTTCCCTCTCCAGCTCTTACTCTCGCGAGACTCGCCTGTGCGGAGCGTTGCCATGGTAACAGCCGCGGGTCTCGCGAGAGTTATAACTGGAGAATGAACACAGCGTGTGATGGCCCCTCAGTGCAGGGACCAGGGCCGGTCCTGCAGGACAGGTAACGGGAACGGCGTTCCTGCTTTGGAAAAAGTGCAGGAACGCCGTTCCCATGCGTTCCTGCAGGACTCGAGCCCTGATTCTACCCGATATTACAAATAAACAGCCAACACCATAGTTCTTACCAGAGAGAAATCTTTACTTAGAATCTGCCCAGTTAAATATTATAGAAGAAGAATGTTACAGAGTTATAGTTAAAATACATTCATAACACCCATACATTCCATCTATCTAATACTATCTGCTACATTGTGTATGTGCTGTGAGCTGTTATGTGCAGCATGTGTCTTACCAAACCTAATCTAATGTGATGTCAGTATCTTCTATTTTTAAAGGAATTGGTTCCCATGTTGTAAATAGCAAACACAGACTTAATCAAGCACATATTAAACAGATATATACATAATATTTTCCCCAACACACAAGTCTACCTTTCCTGGCTAATCATGTCAGCATCACTTATGGGTTGCTCGACCTCCAGCCAGAGCAGAACAGGAAATACTTAAATTAAATGAGATTGCATGCATAAAGGTCCCTCCCCCTTCTATATAGCAGACTTTTTTCTGTCCTCAGTTGGACACACAGGTATTTATTTCCTTCTAAATTTTCACCTTCCCTTGTAACATGGGTCTCCAAGGGCCAATTCAGCCTCTCTGTTCTTGAAGGACCGCGTAAACAGCCTGCATGAACAGGACTAACTGGGTCAGGCTTTATGATCAGCAATTTTGAACTTTAATATACCTTGAATCTTATACATCCTTGCAGTAGCCCCTTATTGTCCACTTTATT